CTCACCCCTGCAGTCAGCCAAACACCTGAAGCTGATTGCAGGGGTTGTATTTAAGGAATGGCCGGACTCACAGTCAGGGCCTTGGTGTGTGTTTTTCCATGGGCCCCTTGTATCTTGTATCCTGTGTTCCTGTTCCTGTTTCTGCCTGACTTGTTGCCGACCCTGCCTGATCCTGACCTCTGCTGACTTCTCCTGTTTGATCCCTGGCTTGTGACCCTGACCATTCTCTGCCTGACCCTCTGCACCATGCTGCCCTTGAGTTACTGAACCCAGCTTGTGACCCCGACCACTCTCCCGCCTGTTCCTGGTACTCCATTTGCCCGTTTGCTACTGACCCGGCCTGCCTGACGACTCTTGCATTGTATGTATTGTTATCTGTAGGTGGTTTGGTTTGTTTGCACTGTGTTTATGTTTAATTTTGCACTGCGTTTTGTATTGTTAGTCTTAATAAATCATATTGTTTATACCATATCTGAAGCCTGCGTTTCCCTGTGTCAGTCCACACACCTCTGGTCATACCCGCATCCCTGACACACATGTGTGACTGTATTATTATTCTTATACAGGATTTATATAGCACCAACAGTTTGCGCAGCGCTTTACAACATGAAGGTAGACATTACAGTTACAATGCAATTTGGTACAAGAAGAAACAGAGGGTCCGCCTGTATGGTCACATGGGCTGCTCAGATGTGAGAGGGAGGAAATGCTCCACCTAGAAACTCACTGAAAACTGAGCACGTGCAGTAGCTGCCAACACTGCTCTTCAAAAATGCCTAGCTGCATTGGGGACATGCACAGAAGGGGGATAGAGAACAGCAGGATCAACCAAGATTTTTGCAGATTACAGAAAATGAATCCCATAGTGACTGAGTGAGTATGAACAGTATGTAATACCGTATTTATTGATAGGTTTTTTTATGACGTGGGTTTACTGACACTTTAACGGGTGAATATGAAAATCTAAATATGCATATCCAATAAATGAAGAGTAGTGACAAAAAGACCTACCGCAAATTTCCTCCCTGCTAAAGAAGACATTCAGTCAGAAATAAATAACAATACAAATTGAATAGCCTATTAGAAAAGGAAATTAAATGGACAAATTGAAAATAAATTGCTCAGCTCAGTTCGGTTGCTTTACTCAACTTCAATTTGCAATTGTCCCCTGTAGTATCCTCTTCCACCACAAGATGTCCTCAGACTTTTGGGTTGAATGGTGGACAGCATCAGTACACCCACTTCCTGAGGCCAGGCTGTCATGTAAGTGAAGGGATGGACACTGCTCAACCGACCCCAGGAGTCCAATGTTAAGAAATGGCCTCAGCCATGCCCTCTGACATGTTTTGCCCCCCACTGGGGGGGGGGGGTGCTGGTGACTGCTCTGTGACCAAGTCCCACAATGGTCGGGACTAAATGCGTCAGAGGGCATGGCCAGCATGCGGCTGAGGCCATTTCTTTACAGACTCATGCTCCCCTCATCTCATTTGGGATGATCCTTTTCTTTCCATCCATAGCTTGGATCGGCGCCATAAGGTATATTTTTCAGGGTGTCATGGGCCCGCCCCTAGCTTACAAATGGACAGTGAAAGGAGAAGCAGCACAGTGATGAGGTCACTTCTCTGCTTTCTCCTCAAATCAGCATGCGCCTTTTCAGTGCATTTCATTTTTTTGAAGGTATTTATTTAGAGCCAACAATTTCTGCTGTGCAGTGCTTTATATACTGTACATTCACAACAATCCCTGCCCTCAAGGAGCTTACAATCTAAGGTCCCTATTTTACATGCATTTACATACTAAGACCAGTTTACACAGGGGGCCAATTAACCCTCCAGCATGTCTTTGGAGTGTGGGAGGAAACTCACACAGGCACAGGGAGAACATGCAAACTCCAAGCAGGTAGTGTGCTTTTGAGTTTCAAACTGAGGACACCAGTGATACAAGGCAGAAATGCTAACCACTGTGCTGTGGAGAAAATCAATTCAACTTACTTGCTCCTTGTGCTGCTTCTCTCTCCCCCAAGATAAGCTCTGCTGTATGGGGAGTTGCAAGAGGCTGGTGTCTTGTCTGATTCAGGAACTTACACTCCTTGTATTTTGAAAAATATATTTAATGATGTATTAATGAATACATAACTGCATCCGTTTGTATCTTTTATACATGCCTGGAGATCAACTTTAAAGTATAATTAAAGGCATTTTTTTTATTTTGGATAGAGTGGAGAGGGATTAGAACTCCTGTCAGGTTTTTATTGCTGTCTATGTCCCCCCTGTAGGGAGATTCGTCCTATTTACCCAAATCCAGTGAAAGAACATCCCAGATTTTGGGTTATCCTCAGAACAGGAATAGCGAGGAAATCTTCCAATGGGGGAGACTAGTTCTGGTGACAACCAGGGATTCCCTCCTGCAGGGATTTCCTCTCACATCCTGTTTTGGGACAAAGAATTGAAGGGAAAGCTACCCAATGGGTCGCAGATGGCAAAACAACTTTTTAACCCTTCCTTACAACATATGAAATTAAAAAAAAAATTTGTCTTTAGTTTTGTTTTAATGGGTATAAACCCTTACCTTGTAAAACAACCCATTCAGTTTAAAGTTGAAAGGCAAAATATTTTTGTATATATATAAAAAAAACATTATAAATACCTTGTGATCACATACCCTCTGTTCTCAGCTGCATCAGGAAGACAGAGTTCTAGGGGAGGTGAAACAGCAGGGCAATGGTCTTCCCAGTGAATGGTTGTGTAAGGGGATGGGTGGTTCTCATGATAAGTCTAATCATTGGAGGACAGGCAGGCTGTTCTCCCAGCACAGCCAGAAAACTGGGAAGGATGTGCTGTCCTGAACACTGGTCTTCCCATTGAATGGCTATGCAGGGGAATGTCAGGACAAGTCTGATCATTAGTGGTGAGCAGGCTCAATTCTCCGCACAGCCAGAAAACTGACCATGCTGTGCTGTCATGCCTAGTGTGGTCAGTTTCTAATAGAAAAACAGAGGTACTGGCAGAAACACCAGGGTTTTCACACAAAGGAAGCAATACTAAGAGCACAGGAGACTTTTTCATACAAGTACATGGTATAACAGGCACATATCAGGAATATGAAATGTTGCGTTTACACATTTTTTAAAGCAAACCCGTCTTCCATTGTAGTCTTTAAAAACAAATTCAAGCTCTGCCTCAGAGCCAACTCCACCAGTTGACTGCTGTTAGCTCCCTATGGGGTAAACCACATAAAATAATGCAGTGGCAATTTATCTCACTTCCAAGTGCTACTTATGTAGATTACACCATAGGCAGCCATTTGTTCCCATCTGTGTAGAGATCTCTACTCTTAGTACTCTTTAGACTCTTACCTTAGAAAATTGTGGAAAGTATATGAAGTGTGTTTTATTTCCCAGTATACATGAAGAACATCACAAGACCAACGTTTCGGGGGCAAGAAGTTCCCCTTTATGAATGTGCAACATTTATAAAAAAAAAGTCCCCGTATTATCTGACTTTTTGCTGTTCTTCATGTATACTGTGAAGTAAAACATACTTTATATATCTTTTCGGAGTATGCCAACTATCTGTTACTTGGTGCTTGCAGTGCCACCTGATCTATTTTGAATGACCATAGAGGTATGAGTGCGGTATGGAACTTCTGTAGCTTAACCATTAGCCTCCCGGCCTATAGCCGTGGCCGCAAAAGTGCTGCAGATTTCCGGGGTATACGCCATTTGGCATCCTCCCGCACATGTGCAGTTCGCGCAGTTTTAGAGCCGCGCAGTGGCGTGATCTGTCACCGGCCGTGTACCTCGGACACGGCCGATGACAGATCTGAGTACCGGCCCCCGTTGCCGGTACCATGTGACCTGCTGTGTCACATGAAAGTTGTATACAATGGATGGCTTCATTCATGCCATCCATTGTATACTAGTGCCTAGCTGTGAATGGTCACAGCAGGTCACATGCACATGTCATGTGATTAGCTGTGGCCAAATCACAGCTAAGCACAAAAAAAAAAAAAACCTGAATAAATCGATGTCACTCAGGTAAATGCTTGCTTATAGCAAAGTAATTCTTTGCTATAAGCAAATTGTGTAAAAAAAAAAAAAAAAAAAATACTGATCACTTCCCCAAAGTAGTACAATGTTACTATGGTAACATTGTACTACTTTGGTCATAGTAAAATATGAAAAAAAAATTAAAATAAAAAAAAAAGTAATAAAAAATTAAAAATAATAAAAAAAAATATATTTTTTTTTTTTTCGTTCATACTGTCACCAGTCAGTGTCCCTGTTCACCGCTATGCCAGTTATATGATGACGCTGTACTGCACTGGTGACAGTATGTAAAAAAAAAATAGTGAAAAATTTTTTTAATTTTTTTCATTTTCCGAAAAATTATGACAAAAAAAATACAACTTCAAAAAACTCGCCATTCCTCCTATGAAGTACGTTGGACTGTCTACTTTGCAAAAAGGGGTCATTTGGGGGATATCTGTACTGTTCTGACATTCTTGGACCTCACGAAATTAGATTGGCCGTCAGTACTTGATCAATATTCAGATCTATACCATAGTTTGTGAACTCTATAACTTTCCTACAAACTAAAAATACATCCTAATTTGGGTTATTTTCACCAAAGACATGTAGCAGAATACATCTCGGCCTAAATTTATGAAGAACAATTATTTATTTGTAAACTTTTATAACAGAAACAAAGAAAAACGTGTTTTTTTTCAAAATTTTTGGTCTTTTTTTGTTAATTTAGCAAAAAAATAAAACCCCAGCGGTGATTAAATACCACCAAAAGAAAGCTCTATTTGTGTGAAGAAAATGATAAAATTTTAGTTTGGGTACAATGTTGTATGACCGTGCAATTGTCATTCAAAGTGTGAGAGCGCTGAAACCTGAAAACTGGGCAGGAAGGTGTAAAGTTGCCCGGTATTGAACTGGTTAAAACTCCTCAAAATATATTGTCCTGTAATTATCTTAGTATCTCTCCTTTTTGCAGGTCAATCTGGATGCCAGCACGAGGGAGCTAACTGAACACAACCTACTAGTCCCCACACGCTCAACATTTGACGAAGCTCAACGCAGAATTTACGGCCTGATGGAACGCGATTCCTACCCACGATTTCTTCGTTGCGATCTCTACCAGAGTATGCTCCATCCACCCAATGGAGCCTGCTGAGTAAGGAAGAAAAGTACGGTGAGCGTGGGGAGGAGCCAGTTCAGTACCTGGCTAAAGGGACAGCCGTTTTAGCTTTTAAATGGACCGGTTTAGGTTTTCTTGAAGGACTGCATGACCGGTGTCAAGATGGAGTCAGTCATGCCAAAGCTTGCCAGGAGTGGCCATTTTGAACAATAAGTATCTCTTGAAATATGCCCCCATTTTGATCCTGCGCGGACCAAAATGCTTCTATGCCATAGCCTTCTCGGCTAAGCCATTTTTGAACTGTAGAGCTTCTTGCCTTTACTTTTTTTGCCATTTTTGAATCGGAAAGTAGTCACAATTGGCTGCTTTGATTCAAGGTGGAATCTGTCATGTCAGCGCTTGTAGTGGATGGTGACCAGTGTTAACACTAATGGATCTATACAGAGAAAAGTTCTCCCAAAGTGGTCTCGAAGGCCGTAAGGTTGGATCGTCTTTAGGATACGCTTCATCAGTGGTGACCGCTTGCCTAAAATAACTTCCACTTAGAACACTAATTACGTCTGAAGATCAGAGCCAGACAGACAGACGTAGACCTCCCTTGTCTCGTCTTGGAGGCCATTTTGAACACTAATTTTTAATTTAAAGTCATGTTTGTTTTTTTTGGTAAGTTGTAATTAAATAGGTGGGCTTCTCTTTTTTTCTGGTGACCACCAATGGTTGAAGAGTCAAAATCATTGTAATATATTTTAAATTAATTTTTTAATTATTTTTTAAAAAAATAAAGACTTTAATTTTATTGGGTTAAAACCTGCTGATTTCAGAAATGTTATCGAATCTGGGGGTTGTCCTGCCATGGTACACTTTCACCTGCAGGTCGGATCACCATCGTGGTCTAGTTATGCATAACGAAGGTCAGCCATTTTGAACAACGTCACTTGAGCCATCAGCCATTTTGAGCTCAGCCCTCTGTAACTCCATAGAGGTAATGAAAGGCCACATTTTGAAAAATCATTGGCTCAGAGTGCTGCTCCTGCCCTCCATCTCCCCCCCCCCCCCCCAAGTCTTCACCTTTTGTTAACACTATGGATAACCTTTGAAGCCTTGCGCTTTTTTCTTTGCACTGTTAAATGCCTTTTGCGCCTTTTCTGCCATTTTTTAAAATGCCTCCATATTGATGCACTGAAGCCATGTCCCGCTCCTGCACCCCAATAATGCACGTTGCTGCCTCAGTTCAGCTGGCCACTATTTATATGGCCCACGTAGCCGTCACCTCTTCATGTCGTCCATTTTTTTTTGTGTGTTGAGTCATACTTGTTCGTAATCACCACGTTGGAAATTGTGTCAGCCATTTTGAAGAAATTCGTTCCCTAGCAGGGATCCTGATCCTCTCAATAGCCCTTTTCCCAAATTGAGCATTACTTTATTTTCTACCTTTCCGTTACGGCCTGCATTGCCCTCCCATGACTTCCCTGCTTGAGATCCGCAACGTGTTGTACATCATTTACTTGTGGCGATAAGTTTGAAATCAGGTTAAAAAAAAGTGTTTTTTTTTTTGGGGTTATGAAGTCTAAATGTTTTTTATGATGAGTAACTATGTAACTAGTCTTAAGCACTGAATAAAGATCTACAGTATTCACCTCTGTCTTCTGCAATTTTTTGTTCTCTCAAAGGGTTAAGAGCAATGGTGATTCATCCACAAGCTGCTGAGGTGCCATAAAGTGCTGGCTTGAAGGGCAAGCAAACCTAAACTACAGCTTGGTTTATTTAAAAGGACAATAAAAATGTAACTTTGGCCTCCTCTTAACCAGAATGGCCAAGTGCTTTACAATCATGACTTTCTATTCATTATAGGAAGAAATGGCAGGATTGTCTGAATCATTTCTGAATTTAGCTAAACCTACAAAGCCATTCACAACGCCGCCCCAAACTACATAACTGACCTGATACCCAGGTACTACCCTACCCGTGCCCTCCGCTCCTCACAGGACCTCCTGCTCTCTAGCTCCCTGGTCTCCTCCTCCCAAGCCCGATTGCAGGACTTCTCTAGGACTTCCCCCATCCTCTGGAACTCCCTACCCCAATCCATCAGAATGTCACCTACCCTCCTCACCTTCAGGCGCACCCTGAAAACCCTCCTCTTCAGGGAAGCCTACCCCAACCTCTCATAACACCTGACCTTACCTCACAACCAACCTCCTTCATTCCACCCACCATTCCATCCCCTTCAGCCATCTCCTCCTGTGCCACCTTCCCCTCCCTCCTAGACTGTAAGCTCGAAAGAGCAGGGCCCTCGAACCCCTCGTGTAGTGTATTGTTACTGTCTTGTCTCATGTTCTGTCCCCCTTGCTATTGTACAGCGCTGAGCACACCCTTTGGCGCTATATAAATACTGTATAATAATAATAATAAACCTAAATCATCTACTTTTGAAACCCCAGTGTGGACGTCCTTAAAGTCGGGTTTCTCAGCCAGGGTTCCATCTGAGGTTACTAGGGGTTCCTTGTTCAATAACGAGCACTAAGCAACTTCTGCCTCTCAAATGAGTAACCACTGACACCAATGATCTTTTTAGTTGTCTGTAAGAGGGGATTATTCCCACTGATCACAAATGTAAGAGGCATTTTTCCCACTGACCTTAATACTAATATACTGCAAGCTGTAAATACAATAATTATTGGCAGGGGTTCCCTGGAACCAAAAAGTTATATATAAAAAAAGTAATATCAAGGGTTCGTGCATGTTAAAAAGGCTGCTTTAACCACTTCTCATCCGTGCTATATTCAATATACAGCTTCAAAGACGTTCTCCAGTTCTGGGAGGGCGTCCCTGAATGTCCTCCCTTGTGCGTGCTCCCCGCACGCCGCCTGGGTGTGCATCGGGAACTGTCTGTATCCGCTGTCTACCTTGTACACAACGCATCACAGATCGGGGCAGACTGACCATTTGAGCACTCGGGCACCGAGGGCCCGGGGTCAGTTGGGGCCCCATGAGATGCCCCTGGTACCTTTTTATAGGCTTGGGTGTGGGCGAGGACACGGGGGCCCCATGATTTCCTATTGCCCGGGGGCCCCATGAGTTGTCAGTGAACCCCTGGACACGGGGGCCCCATGATCTCCTATTGCCCGGGGGGCCCCCCATGAGTTGTCAGTGAACCCTTGGATCAGGGTAAAGGGCTAATAACAGCGGCCCTACGCTATGTGATTGCTGTGTCCAGTCACAAGTAATCACAGATATACAAACAAAAGGTCTTTGCCTGTTAACGTGTGTGAGGGAAGGAGAGCCAGGGTTTTTTTTTTTCAAAGCTGTTGTTTGTTTATTTTCTGCAAAAAATGGAAAAAAAGAATTGTGTGGAATATGTTCTTTTACAATAATAAATAATATATATATGGCATGGTATTCAAACTATATAACATAAAGACCTTTACTGAAAGATTTCTGAAACTTTATGTTAAGTCTTATATTATTGTAAGTTCTCTCAGCTGAAGTCAAGCAAATCCTGGAATACAATTCAAGTAACACTGTACTTCTCAATGCAGTTCTCAATCAAGAGAAATCTGTATTTCTGCCACTAGGGGGCACTACTGGGGAAAGTTAAATATAAATATATAGTGCAGCTCTTCCCTATACAAATAAAACAACTATAAATAAAAATATATGGTGAACAAGTAATCAAGGTGAACATGCATCAATAAGGTGAACATGCATCAATACAAAGTCTCTCAAAATTAATCTCTTCAACTTGAATAAGTGATTTCTTCAACTTGAATAAACAACAAAAACTTCTTAATTTTTACCTATATTCTGCGCATTAAGTAGTTTTTTCTTTCCTTCCTCTCAGTAAAATGGTGAGACAACATCTAGATTTTGGAAACATTTCCACAGTGCGATTTCTGCTGAAATTCCTGGAAGTTCGCCCCCCCCCCCCCCCCCACAGCCTTCTGGAACACTTCACAGGTCCCAGAAGACTGGGACTCATTCACAATGCACAGCGCACTTCATGCATGTGCAGTAGGAAACTGGTTTCCCTTAGTCGAGCAGGCAATACCAGCACCCAATAGCCGATTGAAGAATCGGCTAGGATGAGGACACCACTAGATCCCTGGACAGGTAAGTGCCCTAATATTAAAAGTCAGCAACTACAGTATTTGTAGCTGCTGACTTTTAATTTTTTTTTTTGGAAGGGGGGGGGGGGGGGGTGTAACTGCTCTTTAACATAAACAGTCCTTGTTATTCCATTTGTAATAAAAAATACAATTTTAAAAAGCACATGTAGTTTATTTTCTGAATAAGCTGAGCTGTACTTTTATTTCAAGCATAATACTTTATATACACCTTACCTTTCCAGTGTAACAAAACAACTTTCAATTTATAAAACTACTCCACCCTGAATATTTTTTTTTTTTAGTTTTACCAAAATTTCCTTTTTTTCCAGAAAAAAAAATGGGGGAAAACTGTTTTTTCCCCATGGCTTCAAAACTTCCAGTAATTTTACATCTCTAGCTAGAACATGTTTCATCATTGGAGAAAAGTAGGATGAGTTCCCAGCACAGCCAGAAAACTTACCATGGTGTTCGCTCCTGCGTAGTGTGGTCAATTTGCAAAAGCAAAGGGACTGGCAGGATCACCATGGATTTCACACAAAGGAAGCAATACAAAGAGAACAGGAGACTTTTTAATACAAATACATGGTACAGCAGGCACATATCAGGAATAGGAAATGTTTGGGTAACATATTCTTAACCTCCCTAGCGGTATGATTATTTCAGATTTTTGGTGCTGAAAGTGGTACCATTATTTTTAGAGATGAGCGAATTATTCAAAAATTCGATTCGGCCGATTCGCCGAATTTGCGGGAGAAATTCGATTCGATGCGAATTTATTCGCTGCGAATTTAACTTATTAAAAGGGTTTCTAGGCTTCAGAGAGCCTTTATATTAGTGCAGAACACTGTACCTTTAATTTAAATGCCCTTGGAGTCTGCTGGGGAAGAGAAATAATACTGTCAGTCAGTATGACATGCAGATGAGTGCCGTCGA